CAAATATTACAACCAGGAATGTTGGACTACACTTCTCTCACCATGACGAAGGGGGAACTGCCTCCTGCGAGGGACAAGTTTTCTTGCTGACTCATACGGCAATGGATGCCAGCACTTTTTCTCAAGGTGGACACTGTAGAAACACATGCTTCCCTTGCGTACGGCCTACGAACCTAACAGAACTTCGCGGCATTCAGATGTCCGATTCTTGCGCATTTGCTTCCTCTTTTTGAGTCTGTGTCTGGTTAGAAGCTGTGTGGATTCTCAGGGGCTTGGCAAAAGACGATGAAGTGCTAATGGCCGGGACACATCAAGCGTTGCGCGGAATCTGGGTCCGTCGATCGTCGGTTGGTGTTAGGATTCCCTATAGCCTATAGCATTACGAGATTTTCTGAGCCAAAGACTGGTGGCGGTGCAAAACCGTTAATCATCAAGAAATCATCGAAATCATCATTCTGAAAATCATCCTCGGCCGCCTCCCCCGTTTGTCACGATTTTGCGGAGGAGGATGATTCGCAGGATGATTTTTTAGGCGGAGGATGATTCGGAGGATGATTTTTCGATAGTTTTTGGGCGGACGCTGATTCGAAGGATGAGTTTCGATGATTTTCTTCGTCAATTTTGGGGAGGCCGAAATCGATAGTTTTTCGATGATTGTTCGATGAATGTCTCAAAGAATTATCGTTTGTTGGCCTGCCGGAGACCACCCGGAAAATCATGGGAAAAATCATCGAAACATTTTCAAACAACCTTCAAGGATTTTCTTTCACGGATTTCGATGATTTTTTCGACCAGTTTCCGGGGGTCTCCGGGAGGCCAAAAAAAGAGAATTCCATCGAATTCGGCCTCCCCAAAACCTCCCCGAAAATTATCAACAGATCATCGAAGTCTGTGAAGATCAATGAATTTCCTTGAACATCCGTGTTTTGGATGATGTTTTCGATGATTTGTTCAATGATTTTCCGGTGGGTCTCCGGGTCTGGGAGCCCAAAAAACGAGAATTTCTTGAAACGTTCATCGAACAGCCATCGAAAAAACTATCGATTTCGGCCTGCCCAAAACCCACCCGCAAGTTCATCGAAAAAGCATCGAATCCATGAACATCTTGAAAATATGTGTTTTCGAAGTTCTCTGATGATGTTCCATGATTTTTGAATGATTTTGTTCGATGATGTTCCGGGGAGTCTCCGAAGTCTCCGGGGAGCCAAACAACGAGAATTCCTTGAGACGTTCATCGAACAATCATCGAATTCGGCCTCCCCAAAACCTCCCCGAAAATTATCAACAGATCATCGAAGTCTTTGAAGATCAATGAATTTCCTTGAACATCCGTGTTTTGGATGATGTTTTCGATGATTTGTTCAATGATTTTCCGGTGGGTCTCCGGGTCTGGGAGCCCAAAAAACGAGAATTCCTTGAGACGTTCATCGAACAGTCATCGAAAAACTATCGATTTCGGCCTGCCCAAAACCCACCCGCAAGTTCATCGAAAAAGCATCGAATCCATGAACATCTTGAAAATATGTGTTTTCGAAGTTCTCTGATGATGTTCCATGATTTTTGAATGATTTTGTTCGATGATGTTCCGGGGAGTCTCCGATGTCTCCGGGGAGCCAAACAACGAGAATTCCTTGAGACATTCATCAAAAAATCAGCGAAACATCGTCGATTTCGGCCTCCCCAAAACCATTCTGGAAAATCATCGAAACTCATTGGAATTTCATCCTTAGAATCATCAACTGCCCAAAAAAATCATCGAAACATCATCCTGAGCCCAAAAAAATCATCGAGGGAGTCATCAAATAATCATCCGTTGAATCATCCTCGGCCAATACACAATCCTTTGAAACATCTTCCGCGAAAGCCACCGAAAATCCATAAAGCTATGAACAACCGCGCTTTTGATGAGTTTTTCAAGATGATTTCGATACTTCGAAGACGACTGAGGATGATTTGTTCGATCATTTTTGGAAGATGGTTTCCATATGTTTCCATGCAACTTTGAGGAAGGATGATTTGATAATGATTTTGACGAGTGTTCGAAGATGAGTTCGATGGTTCCTCGAGGGAGGATGATTCTGAGGATTTTTGATGGTTTAATTCTCTTGAGGACTTCCAACCTCTGGATCCCAGAGATTCATAACCCCAGCAAGACCACTGAAGAGAAATCAAAGTGGCGACCCGTCAACCTTATGGACCGTCACCCTCGAGATCAGGAGTTGATGCTTCGACTCCTGAAGGACGTCAAAAACGATGCAGTGAAGCGCCAGGCCACTTGATTTGGACATTTGACTCCAGGTTTCACTTACCAGTCCATCCTGGGGGCCGTCAGAGCAAGCGAGACCATGCAGCTCCCATCAGATACCCTTATGCAACTTTTGCAGACGTTATGCGTGTATGTGAGAGGCATTACGTGCAGCAAAGGACTTTCAGCACTAAATTAGTAGGGTGCTCTCTTACTGTTTGTTTCCATTGCTGAGACCATACCTGCTGACACGACGTCCTTGTCATTGAGACAATGCTTCAAAAGCTCAGCAGGAACAATGTGAGAGAACTTTGGACACAACAGAACCTGCCAGACCATCTCCGCGGCAGCGCACTTCGACTCGACAATGCGGCAAGGAAGCAAGGACGTAATTCTCTGACACCTCCCCACCTGGCATGTTGGAGTAAGGCCTCAGACAAGGCCTTGGAAGGTCTCGCAATCTGCGGCTCCAGTTCCGGCTCAGGAAGAGATTGTTGATACGGAGTTGTGAGCCGCCGGCAGACCTAGACCCTGACAGTGCCTCACAGCGCCACAAGATTAAGCATCTCTGTAAAGTTGCAGGCTCTCATAAGCTTCCTCTTTGAGTTTGTGGCAGGTTTTGTGACTAAAGGCTTCAGCAGTTCATCCAGGATTTGCCTGTGAAACTTACATTCGCCAGGACATATACCACCTGGAGGCCAGAGGACGCTTGCATCGACATTTTGGTTGGCCATAGCAAGCATGCTGGAATCAGGTTGCAAGTGAGTTGGTAGACCTGCGATGGCAAAGGTTGGTTGAATGGCAGCGCGCCCCTCCTTCACCCTCGTAGAGATGTACTGGTGGCACGAACTTTCAAGAAGATAATGAGACCTTGAGTTCGACGAGCCGTTTGTTGGCGTCCAGGCCCCGAGGAGCTCTAGAAATAAAGCTTTGGCAGCAGATACTTCGGAGAAGGCCTTCGTTCTGCGCTTCATGGCGGACTACCGTGCCAGGGCCTTTGATGTCGCTGCAGGTCTTGCGTCTGTCAGTTACAAGGATCCTGCGCAAGCACATATCCCTGGCCAGCCTAGAGACGTGTCTTGGCCGAGTCGCGATAAGGCTCATGAGTCGATCAAATGTGTTGCATTGATTGGGCGAAGCAGAGATCTCGTCCAAATTCACTCGTGCTCGAATCTCGCGATGCTGTTCCTGGACCTTCTAAGGCTTCTATGGTAGCCTTGGGCTGAGCTGCGTTGATTCGTTAGCGCGTTTCCTGTTAGGCAGAGTGGTAGACTGAATGCAAATGTGTCAAGCTGGTTGATTCCTCTGCGGGTCGTATGTCATGAGTTTTTGAAGTTTCCTTCACTCAGGCCTGACTGCAGCGCACAGCATAGTAAGAGTTGTGGGCTAAGCTCTGGGTTTTCGTTTACAGGTCTTTACATCCTGGCCATGTGTTGATAGTTTGGTGTAGGTAGATCTAGGCTTTATCGAACTATCGAACATAGTTGCTCCACTTTGTGCACTACCGCCACATGTAAAAGGTCCAACCAAAAGCAGAGGCTCTGTCAAATATTACCAAGTAAATCCAACACGCACAGGTCCACATAATGGATGTAGTCATAGCAGGCTGGCTTCATAAAATCCGAGCAAGTCTGCAGCCTGCAAGTCGTCCTGCCCCCGATAGACAGCTTCATTTCACTGTACAAGCTTTTTGTAAGCTGCTTGTATCTCGGGAGTTCGTTGTGAATGTGAAGCTGCCCGCTCATCCTGCGTTCTCTGCACCATGCAGTGCTCCGCTTGCAGGCTAGATAGCCCTCCTTGCTCCGTGCGGCAAGTGAGTGCAGTGACGGCTTGAAAGAATGCCAGCTGCTAGGTGGAGGGAGAAGAAGGTATTTTTATGCATGTTTTTAGTACACGGGGGAGGTACGCGTGCCAGAAGGGGCTTGGAAAGTGTAAGTACTAATAGGTACTCGAGGGCACCTAGCTCCTGATCGGACTGCCGTGCGAACTCGAGTTAGATATCTCGAATTTGGACAGCTGACAACTTGCCATGCCTATCCGCTGAGCAGTACCAACCATCTGTCTGAAAAAAGCAAGCACCCGAGAAAGGACCAGTTTCATACAGTAATCGGTGTGGAAAGTGCCAGACTTCAGAGTTTCAGAAATCATGCAGTCCTGTGGGAAGTCCTTTCGGCAGAGCGTGGGGCACGAAACGGTGCAAACAAGAAGCCGGAGATGGATGCAGCAGTGGGCAAACAAAGATGATGTAAAACGTTGCGAAAACTTGGTCTTGTTCGCCAGGGTACGCCTCAATCCCATGAGTTCACATCATCTCCAACGCGAACAAAGCAGAGACAGGCTGAAGTCGGCAGGGTCTTCTGAAATATCCCTGGGGCCACTGCTGATTGGAGGACAATGGGGAAGAGATCTCCGCAGCGAGTGGCACAGCGCAGGGAAAATGGCAGGAGCTGTTATGTATCTGCAGACAATGTGTTAAAGCTGCAGGGGCAGGTCCATCTTCATCAGATTACAAACCTGTGAGTCTTTTCATCTGCAGCCAGCAGGAGGGAGAGACAGAGGAGTCTTAGCTTGACGCGTCGCCGTGGCTCAAAAGCGTACTATATTCTATCGCATGCCTTCATAAATCCAACCATTGGTGAGTTTTCCCGTATCACGCCGCCCCGCATCACAGCATTCAACCTGCATGTTCCATCCTTTTGTTTCGGACACGCTTAGAGAGACTTGAAAGCGGCTGCCGCGAAGAGCGCCTTCAGCCATGTCACCGGCTGCAAGGAAATTCTGGGACATAATAGGGCATGCTTCTTACGAGCGCACTTACTGTGATTAGTGCTGTATTGCGACATTTGAATGGTGTTTGATTTGGGGATAGTATGGCATCCTTTCTAGAGTCTAGAGTAAGATTATATGCTCTTTTTGGGGTATAGTATTTTGTATGCGACCTAAATAACGCTCGTCACCTGGCAGTCAGAAGACCGCGGACAACCAGTAGCTGGCAGCAGATCTGAAAGCAGCCGATGGACAAGCTTGGAGATAGTGAAGTGGAGACAGCAATCTCTCATCAGGCCATAGGACAAACGTGGCTCTGACAACCCCACATCAGCTTCAGCAAGTGGGGCATGAAACAGTTCGTCGTTGCAACGCGGTCTATTGGACCCCTACATGGCCTGAGGATTCTTAAAGTGACTTTGAAGACCCACTTCCAATTGACGTACATACACGGTACCCTCCTCTATATTTCGTTTGAAAGATCTTGCATAACACCCTCGTATCGAAAGGCCAGAAATTGCGAACAACTTTGCTTGAACTCGTTTTTCAGATGAGTTACACCTGCTGGCAGTCGCAACTTTCTTGTCCTCGAGGTGCGTCTAGCGACAACCAGAATCCGGTAGGCGACTGATGCCAACAGTTTTTTTATTTAATGTGGAATCTACGCTTTGTTTTGGCAACAGCCTCAGGAGGTGCCAGAAAACTTCAAATTAACTCAGCTGTGGACCCCA